CGTGATGCCACTTTTGATGAATATGGTGCCTGGGATTGGTTAGCTAAAGATGAAAGTTCAGTTGTTATTCCTGCTGTTGAAAATATTGTTGAAGAGCAACCGATTCCAGATAATGTCCAGTCTCCTTCACAGCCAGAATCGTCAGTTCGGCGATCTCAGCGCGAGCGCCACTTACCAGCTCGCTTGCAAGATTATGTTTTGGGTCATGATAATGACCTGTCTGATGAAGAGATTGTTCAATTTGCTCTCTTTGCAGATTGTGATCCTTTAACTTTTGAGGAGGCTGCTACATAAACTCATTGGCTTAAGGCGATGGATGAGGAGATACGTGCCATTGAAAAGAATGGTACCTGGGAGTTAACAGATTTACCTCCTGGAAAGAAGCCGATTGGAGTAAAGTGGGTTTACAGAACGAAGTACAAATCAAATGGAGAAATTGACCGTTTTAAGGCACGGTTGGTAGCAAAGGGTTACAAGCAAAAACCAGGTATTGATTATTTTGAGGTTTTTGCTCCTGTAAGTAGACTTGATACAGTTCGAATGGTTATTTCTCTTGCTGCTCAAAAATGATTGGAAATTGCATCAAATGGATGTCAAGTCTGCTTTTTTGAATGGTTTTCTTGAAGAAGAAATATATGTTGAACAACCTGCAGGATTTCTGAAGAAAGGGGAGGAAAATAAAGTGTACAGGTTGAGAAAAGCTTTGTATGGCTTAAAGCAAGCGCCTAGGGCGTGGTATGGTTGCATTGATTCATATTTTGTTGAAAGTGGTTTTATGAGATGTCCTCATGAACACACTTTGTATGTCAAATGCACGGATTCTGGTGATATTGTTCTAATCTGTATGTATGTTGATGATCTGGTTTTTACTGGAAATAACTTGAAGTTAATCTCAGAATTCAGGGAGGCACTCATTAAGAGGTTTGAAATGACCGATATGGGCCTTATGTCTTACTTTCTTGGCCTTGAGGTTGTTCAGATGGATGGTGGAATCTTTATTTCACAAAAGAAGTATGCTGTTGATATTTTGAAAAAGTTCAAAATGGAAAACTCCAAACCAGCTTCAACTCCGGTAGCTGAAAAGTTAAAGGTGTCCAAAGATGAGTGTGGTAAGAATGTGAATGTTACGTCTTATAAAAGCTTAATTGGGAGTTTGAGGTATCTGGTGGCAACAAGGCCAGATATTTCTTTTGGAGTTGGAATACTTAGCAGATTCATGGAGGAACCAAAAGAATCACATTGGGCTGCAGCAAAGCGATTCTGAGATATGTCAAAGGTACGAGTAATGGTGGAATTTTTTACTCTACAATGAAGCTGTGAAACTTGTTGGGTATACAGACAGTGATTGGGCTGGAGATGTTGAGACCAGAAAAAGCACATCAGGATATGCCTTCTATCTTGGTTCAGCCATATTTTCTTGGTCTTCAAAGAAGCAGCAGATTGTAGCACTTTCACCCGCAGAAGCAGAATATATTGCAGCCAGCAAACTGTGCTACTCAAGCAGTTTGGCTGAGGAGAATTTTGGAGTTCTTACAACACGAGCAGGAAGCACCTACGACTATTTTTTGTGACAACAAGTCAGCAATTTCGTTGTCCAAAAATCCAGTCTTTCATGGTCGTAGCAAACACATTGATATCAAGTATCACAAAATTAGAGAGTTGGTTGCTGAAAAGCAAATCAACATTGAGTATTGTTCAAGTGAATGTCAAGTTGCAGATATCTTTACGAAGCCGTTGAAGACGGAGACATTTCTTAAATTGAAGAATGAAATTGGGATGACCAATATATCCAACTTGGTTTAAAGGAGGCAATGTTATAATAATATTAGTAATAATATTATTATTAATTAAACCAAGTCAATATTAAAATGAAATGTGAGGTGTGTGAATGTGAACGTGGGTTATGCAGCATTACTACGTGGATCATGGGATTAGCAATACATGCACCATTAGTCCTAAATTGTAGCTATGTTTATTATTCTTCTTTTTAGTATAAATAGGCTGTGTATCCACACTTCCAAAATTATCAATCAAGTTAATTCAATTCTTCCTTCTCTCTCTCTTCTCAAATATATATTATATATATATTATAGATATATTATATTATATTTAATATATATTATATTAAATATATTATATTTAATATATCTTACAGTATTAAAAAAAAAAAGTAACATTAAAAATTGAAAAAGAAGAGGAAAATCAGGAAAGTAAAGTCTTGAAATGAATGTCCTATTACCTTTTACACGCATTTTTAGGAATCAACAAAAGAGATACCAGTTTTCTATTTTTAACATTGTGTAAGAGGTGCTGTCCAATGTCCTATTTACTTTTTATACGCATTAGGAATGAGAGGAGGGAATGGGTTAGCATTTACTCTATAAAAAAAGTGTTGCAGTGATGTGATTGAAGAAGAAAAAATACCGAATGGATGGGATTGACACATTTCTGTATAAAATTATAAAGTATTATTATATTATATTTTTTTTATACCCACAAGGTTAGTTTAGAAAAAATAAAGTTAGTAGTGTTTGTATTAAAAAGTGGACAATATTTTGGAACAGACTAAAAGGGAAAGTAAGAAAAGTAAAATGGGACGGAGGGAATAAGTACTCTATTCTTTATTATACTTGTTGTGATTGGTATGTACGTTAGCCTTTAGCTCTTAAGCGGAGAGTTTTAAGATTGAATCAACAATATAAAAGTAAAATGTTCTTCTGATGTGCAGTAGTATAGCAGGCGAGGGCAGTGATGACCAGCGAATGGTTGTTTTTAGTCTTATAGATAAAGACCATAAAAACTTAGGGTGTGCTTCGAAACTTGAAAATTATTTCTAAAATTATTTTTTGAGTTTTCAGTGTTTAGCAAGATTTGAAAAATTAAAGTAATGGAGAATGATGTCCGGTCAAAGAGAAAAATGCTTTTGTTTTCTTCAAAAACAAGTTCCCCTCTTTTGAGGGGTAGTCATTTTATAATTTCCAGATTCACAGGGCTTCTTCTTCCTCGCTTCTTTGATCTTCCTTGGCTTCTTTCGCGACTTCTTTTATGGCCATCTTGCGCGACTTCTTCCTCGGCCATCCCGATGTCTACTTTCTTCCACGTCTTTCTTCATCATGTGGTCCAAGATTTTATTTTTGTTTTTATTTTTTTTTTTAAAATTTGATGAAAACCCACAGCTGGTTTCGAAAACCAAAAACTAATTTTGGAAACCAAATCACTAGTTTCCGGCCGAAAACCAAAGCATCGGTTTCGGGCCCTACCACTGCCCTCCACCTGCCCTCTTCGTGCCCTACCACTGCACACCACAATAATATTTGCGATGTGTATAAGAGGCTGTTAAGCACGGTTCGGGCACATGAGGCTGCATGGCAATCGAGGTTCCACCACCATGAAGTAAATACAAATTAGTTAAATAGCTGAAGGGCATTCTTGTCTTTCAATTTTCATTCTTTTCATTATGTTATGTCTATTTTACCTATACTATATAAAGATGACGTAACTACATTCTATTCTAGAACTACTTACCACTTGTAATAAACCAATTCAGTTTCTTCTAATATGAACTCTGTTTCTCCATTTTTGCTGTGATTTGAGCTCTTCCATCACGGTATCATAGTGACCGCTGCGATCAAGAATGAATAGAAATTCAATGATCGCAATAGAAATTGATCGGAATCTTAATCGAACAACAACAGCAACATTGAATCGAAATCTAACTTCTGGAGATTCTCAAACTGGTTCATTACATCAAGGTAGGCCAGTTATGAAGAATACAGAAGCATAATCGGAGAAACTTGGCAGAAAAAGAGGAGAAAGTTACATTAATTTGGCGAAATTTGTGAATGAAAGACCACCTTTTGATGTGATTAGGGCAGAATTTAGAAGGAATTCCCTATCAGTGGCTCGGCACACATTGGATCGATTAATACCAAGCAAGTTCTGATTCGATTCTCACTGGAAGAGGATTGCATGAAGATTTTAGCTAGAGTTCAAGCGTTGATCGAGAACAAGCTAGTTTGGTTCTCGTGATGGTCGACGGGGTGGAATGTGAGAAAATACCTACCTTTAATTCACAATTCAACGCCCTAGTGGTAAACGAAAAACCTTGTTCAGGCGGCTCAGCAATTTATCATCAATCATCATAGATTGGGAACCGAATAGACGTACAGCTCCGGTACCAGTGGTATCGGTGCAATCGGTGCCACTAGTATAAAAAATCACATCCGCTACACCTCTAAAAGCTAAGTGTTTTCGCTACACCTGTAAAGGTGTAGCGAAATCCAGTGTCGCTAAAAGTGCATACTTTCCGACCCGTACAGGATGTAGCGGAAAGCCAAAAATATTAATTTTTTTTTCATTAAATATTGACTTTCCGCTACACCCTCTCCGTTGAGGGTGTAGCGGAGAGTCATTTAAAAAAAAAATTCAAGCCTTTCCGCTACACCCTCTCAGTTGAGGATGTAGTTGAAAGTATTATTAAAAAAAAATCAAAATTTCGCTACACCCTCCGAGAGGGTGCCACAGAGTTTCTTTTAAAAAATAAATATGTTCTGCAAAAGTTTGTGTTTTTTTATTATTCAATTTAATTTTTTAAAACCAACAATTAATATCCTGTACAAAAATCTTTAAAAACCAATACAACAATTTACAAACTAATTCAACAATTAACAATCAACAGAATATACTTATAATTATCAACACAATATACTTATAACAATCAACACAATATACTTAGGCTCTTGAATTATCTCTAAGTTTATGTACCTCTATCATGAAATCTTTCTTTCAGTTTTCGCCTTAGTTCCAAATATTCCAACTCCACCATTGAAGGCTCATGTTTTTTCCTCATGTATCAATAGGAACAACATCATACAGTCTGCAAACTTCATGTAGTGCTTCATCATCCTTCTTACCCCTTCTACTCTTCCATATTTGCTCAAATCAAGCATTTTTTGACAAATCCTAGAAAGATAAATTACAGATTTTATCAAAGGAATCTATCATATAGGAGGATTGAAATATTGAAACTTTCCTCTGCTAGAAGCTGAGTTTTCACATCTAACCCTGCAGACCAATGATACCTGCAAAATGTGAATATGATGTTAGTTTTTAGGAAGTGCTTAAAATGGAAACAAGCAGGTGACCAGAAAGAATCCCCCGCCATGTATATAAAGATCTTCTAATTCTGTGTTCTATTGACAATCAATTCACATTCTAAATCTGTGTCATCAGCATAAACTTTCTGTCTTACATTATTAAGCAAATCTAGTTTTTATGAAGCAAACAAAAACTGAAAACAAACAAAATGAAGAAGAAAGATCAAATAAACCCCCAAAGCTTGCTCCTAAAGCTCTAAAATATATTCATTATATTGATGTGTAATAGAGGCATTGTCAAAAACTGAAAAGTTATTGTTTCTCCATAAGCATACAGCGCGCTATAGTGTGCTTAGTACGCACTACTCACATCTGGACAACTAGGTCTTAGTCTTCATGCCAGCTCTGTACAAACTATCTTCAAAGATAGATTTTCTTACAATGTTTTATTATGGATTTATGGATGAATCTTTTACACTAGGTTCAATCATTTTACCATCTCCCCAAGCATGCTACTTTAACTCTTTAAGTGTAATTAAAATTAAGTAGAATAGTTGAAACCAGCTTCACCAATGCCCTCCTCCCCTCTAACCAAATCTACACCTTGTCTACATGTAAGATAATATTTCCATTATTTGCTTTCATCATAAACCTAGAACTTTAAAGAACATTTTTTCACAATACACTAGACTTTGTAATGTCTAATTGCCGGATTACTCTCTCTAACAAAAGAACATACTACTTTAAACAAGTTAAAGCTAAACCTCAATCACATGGGTCAATGGGAACTAGGATTCATACCTTTACCATTCACAAAAACAACATAGTATGCTTAAACGTGCGGTATCCCCATCACCATTCGTTGGTCACCACTGCCTTTGCCCTACATGTGACAACTCAAAAATAATTTTCTAAATTCTATTATGAACATAATGTTCAGTAATTATGAACATAGAATTGTGTCCACCTTGCAAGGTGGACACGGTTCCACGGCATAACGAAACATATATGCATGCATGCATGACGGTGGAGGAAAATTCAAATCTGCAGGCACACGGTAATACTGAGGATCAGGAAATACGGCAGCTGCTACAGGCTGAGCCAGCGGAGCATTATCTCCACCCACAACTACCATGGAGCTTCATGTACCCGAAGAGTGCTTAACGGATCATTAAACTGCCTCCCACACACACACAACAAATATAATTCTAGGGTGGGTAGGGGAGGAGGTGGCGGTGCATTGTTACATTTTAAATTGCTTAAAGGTTGAAATGAGGTAGCAGTGATGATCAGTGAATGGTGGCGGGGAATTAATATACATACTGCCCTCCATCTGCTCTCTTCCTGCCCTACCACTGCACACAAATTTTAAAAATAATCTTCTTTTATTTTTAATGTTATTCATGGTCGACCACCACCGCTTCTTCCCTGAGGATGACATCTGATGTTTTGGACTGTCATCAACAACCGATTTTTTCGAAGAATGACGACCTTCTTTCCAAGGATGGCGTCACGACCTTCTTCCAGATTTGGAAGAAGGTTGCCACTGTATTGAGTAATGGTAGGTTTGCTTGAAATTTTAAACTCCTTGCCACAACTAGAATATGACCATGTTTCCTCTCAACAACACTATTTTGTTGAGGAGTGTAGACACAAGATACTTGGTGTAAAATCCCTTTGCTTTGGAAGAATTCTGTCATGGCAAATTCCTTGCCATTATCTGACCTTATGCACTTAACCTGCCTTCCAAATTGTGCATTAGCCAGTTCACAAAAAGTCTGCAAAATTTGTCTGACTTCACTTTTCTTTCTCATTAGATAAATCCAAGTTGCTCTACTATAATCATCTACCAAAGTTAGGAAGTATTGATGACCATAAACTGTGGGGGTGTGATAAGGTCTCCATATGTCTGCATGGGCAAGATCAAAGCAATTTGCAGAAACAGAAGAGCTAGATTGAAAAGGAAGTCTTCTTTACTTTGCATAGTGACAATATTCACAAGCACTTGGCTTGTCATTACAAATGTTATTATCTAACTTGTGCAGAATTCTAACTTTGCCCTCAGAAGGGTGACCTAACCTAGCATGCCAATGGCCACACACATTGACAGTAGGTTTACAAGAATTGAAAATGGAAAAAAAAGTTGATAGAGGCCCTTCTTCAATTCAGTCATACCAATCATCTTCCCATGGTGTTGATCCTGTATAATGCACTGATTAGAGTGGAATAATATGTGACACTGTGATCTTGTGGTAAGCTCACCCAAGGAGATTAAGTTGTAATGAAAGATAGGCACACACAACACATTCAAGAGTACCATGTCAGCAGACAGTTGAGCAGTCCCAATATGGGAAACTTGAGCCTGATTTCCATTGGGTAAATCAACTAGGACTCCTTTAACTTCTTTGGGGTTGTGCAACAAACTCACATCACAGAAAATGTGGTGTGTTGCACCACTATCAAGAATCCATAAGGAATTAGAACTGACCAAGTTACAGACAAGATTAATCGATTTACCTTCCAGTTGCTATCTGGAACAAAACTTGCTGCTATGGCATTGGCTTGGGGGGAACAGATAGAATTATCACTGAGAGGAGAGCTATTGTTGGCTTTCTCATACTTCATAAATTCCAGAAATCTCCTGAAGTCTTCTTGATGCATAGAGGGTATGGTCTGAGGTGAATCATCCCCTTGTACAGCAGCCTGAACCTGATTAACGGCCCCTGAGTTCTTGTTCCTTTTCCAGCCAGGAGGATACCCATGCTTTTTATAGCATTTGTCAATGGTGTGTCCAGTGTACCCACAATAACTACACACTGGTTTTTGTTTTTGGCCAGAAAAGGATCTTTTACTTGAGTTCTCATACTTTGTGAAGAAGGCACTTGCCCTTGACAAACTCTCTCCCAGATTTCCTTGTTCATCCGTTACTTGCCTCTCTTGTTGAGAGACCATAGCAAAGGCTTCTCCAACATCAGGCAAAGGCTTCATTAGCATTATTTGACGCTTGGTGTTGGAGAAATTTTCATTCAATCCAATGAGAAAAGCAGACAACATATCATTTTCTAATATACCCTACTCTTTTCAGCCAATTTCCTTCCACATTCACACCTTGGTGAACATTCACACGAAGGAGTAGGTCTTAAAACAGACAATTCATCCCAAAGAAGCTTCAGATGAGTGATGTAATCATTAACAGATGAGTTACCTTGCTTTATTTGATAGATCTCTGCCTGTATTTCTGCAATGCGAAAGACATCTTGCTGACTGAATCTCTTCTTCAAGTCTTTCCAGATTCCCTCTGCTGTATTGATCCAAAGAACACTCCTTCCAATGGTAGGTGACACAGCTCTAAGGATCCTGGACAAGACCATGGTATTACATTGATCCCAATAGAAGTAACGAACATCTGTTCTGCTTGGGATCTCCATAGTGCCATCTACAAAAACCATCTTGTTCTTTGACCTCAAGGACATTTCCATGGCCCGGCCCTCGCCCATGGATGGTAGTTGGATCTCCCTTCTAGTTGAGCAGTCACGAGTTGCAACGAAGGACTTTCATTCGGATGGAGGTGCAAAGGATCCACTCGATCTTTAGGATCATAAGGAGCAAGATTGGGTACTGGATTTGGTGTGGTGTTGTTACCAGAGTTTGCTGCCATTGTTGGACGAACCGTATTCAATAATGGTGCTTGCCAAGCCATGTCTCTGATACCATATTGAGTAATATGAAGGAGAGGAAAAAAGAACACCGTATATTGAAACTAAATGATCAACCTATACACAATGCAGGTTGAGTTCTATATAGCTAGTACAGAGAGATAGGAGGGAAAAACAGTTAAAGATGAAAACTAACTAACTGCTTCATAACAAGCCTAACTAACTGCTAATGAGCTAACTGGCTGATCTTCACTTGCTTGTTTGCATGAGCCTCCTGTATGTGTTAACACACTGCCGCGTTGCCTTCTTCTAGATTTGGAGATGGGAACGCATGTACAGGTCATGATGATGACTTCTTAATTCAGTCGATTTCAATTCATATATAAATTCATACATATATGTATAAATTAAAAATGTATTAAAAAAGAAAGTAAAATTAAAAATTGAAAGATAAGAGGAAAATCAGGAATGTAACAGTACTCTATTCTTTATTATACTTTTTCTTTTCTTCGTTAGGAGCCACTTTATCGTGTGTCAGACAAAAGCTATACTTCACAAAAAAAACATGACCTCAACTTTAAGCTTGTGAATTCTGATTGGAATTGAACCATTAAAATGACTTCCATAAAATATTTTTTGAAAAATAAATTGATAGATTTAATTAATCTGGGGTAATCCGAATTATTAAACTCGATAATAATAAGACTAGGATAATGCGATAATAAAGACGATAAATGTGTGTCGCAGGAACTGCTTTTGTATTGATAATTGTTGTAGGAGAATTAAAAGGTGAATGTAATATTAAATAAGACCAAGAAGTAGATACCCCAAACAAGACAAGAATGCTTATTTATATACCAAGCTCCCATCCAACTGCCCCATGAGAATAGGGTGGGCGGTTGGATCACCTTTGACTAGGTCCACGTGCACACCCGGGGCCTAGGACACCTCCACCGAAGTCGCCTTCCGCTACGGGCCCACGGTTCGTGGCAGCCCTAACTGTGGTCATAAATCATTCTTCAAAAAACATTCTCTTTTTTCGTTTTTGATTGCGTTCCAGAAAACTCTATTGGTGTGTTTGATTTATTTTTTGAAAATGAACAAAATTATATAATTAATTATTTTAATTGTTTTGTTTAAAATCTAACAACATTTATACTAATATTCTAATAATATAATTAAACATTTTAATTTTGTCTATTATCATCACTCATCTTTAAACACAAACATTCTTATTATCCAAGCAATTCTAGGAGAAAATAAGGTATGTATAAAAAAAAAAAAACATTGGTGGATTATTTATATAAAATGAGTGCTATTTAAAAATAATTTTTTTAAAAAAAAAACAAACAAACAAAAACACTAACACTAGAACCAGAGCACTGGTTTATGGTTTCCGGCGGAAACCGGTGCTTTGGTTTCTGGCGAAAACCAGTAATATGGTTTCCAGAACCAGTGCTTTGGTTTCCGGAAAACAGCTATATTATGTGTTTTCATCAATTTTCTTTAAAAAAAATAAATCTTGAACCAGAAGATGAAGAAAGACGTGGGAGAAGGTAGACAGAGGGATGGCCGAGGTAGAAGTCGCAGATGAAGTTGAGGAAGAAGAATCGGAAGAAGCAAGGAAGAAGACTAAAACCATTCACAGAAATAACGTAGTACGCTTAAACGTACGGTATCCCCACCACTATTCATTGGTTATCACTGCCTTAGCCCTGCCTTTCTACTGCACATCAGAAGAACATTGTGCTATCTTTCACACTGTCTAGACTACACGAGATAACCGAGAGTAGAGAGGCGCATTTTGTGAAGAAACCATTGGCCACGCAGTATATATATTGTCTTGACTTTTGGATTTCAATTCCTTGAATTGCATGAACTTTTTGAAGATGAGTCTTTGTATGATGATGTTCTTTTTGTTTTAACAGCTCCCAAGCACTTAGTTTTCGGGTACATGAGGCTCTATGGTAGTCGTGGGTGGAGACATGACTACCCTCAGTTTTTAAATAGAGGCCATTTCGACAATGTGCTACCACTATTTGAGTGAACTTTTTTTCTTCGTTCTAAAAGTTGTTTAAATTAGTCTGATCTAGCATGAGAATATAAAAAATTAAACAAGTTATTTGTCAATTTAGAGATAAATCACCATCAATCATGTGCTTACACATGAACAAAATGAGCGTGCAAAAAAAGAAGTTATAAAGGCACAATAATGCAGTCGTCACCTAATACTAGTAGTACGTTTAATCTATGTATATATTTACATATATAAATTAAAACTTCCCTAAAGAAGAAATCAAGAAAGTAAAATTAAAATTGAAAGTGGACAGGAAAATTAGGAACGTAATTAAGATATTTTTTAGTACTTTATTCTTTAATTTATTTCTTTTAAAAAAAAATTAAAGAGTCAATTTTCCGTGTGTCAGACAAAAGTTATATATGTTTCAAAAAAATCATGACCTTAGCTATACGTTTTTATCATCTTAATATGGAACCATTCACGAAAACAACATAGAATGCTTAAATGGTATTTTATGCTAACCTATCATCGTACAATTCTTTCCCCCCTGGTATACCTATCAACTGTGTAAACTAATTACATTCTTAACACTTTTGGATGAGTTTGATTGCAAGTTAATATAATAAGATAGGTGAGCTTATTATTATATTTCATGTAAGAAATTAGCACAATATTTATCATATATCTATTATCAAATGGTACATAATTACATATTGTTACTCCAAGGACAATGAAAGAAAACCTAAACAAAAATAAAACATGAAATAAAAAGAACATCATCATACAAAGACTCGTCTTCAAAAAGTTCATGCAAAGAACTCGGTTATCATGCAGTCCAGATAGTGTCAAAGATGTGCAGTACGTAGTATAGCAGGGCGAGGGCAGTGTTGGCCAGCGAATGGTTGTTTTAGTCTTATAGATGAAGACGATAAAAACTTAAGGTGTGCTTGGAAACTTGAAAAATGATTACTAAAAATTATTTTTTGAGTTTCCAGTGTTTGATAAAGTAATGGAAAATGATTTCTGGTCAAACAGAAAAATGTCTTTGTTTTATTGGAAAACAACTTCTCCTCTTTTGCGGGGAAGTCATTTTCCAGATTCACACGGCTTCTTCCGCGACTTCTTTCATGGCCATCTTGGGCGACTTCTTCCTCGGCCATTCCGGTGTCTACTTTCTCCCACGTCTTTCTTCATCTTGTGGTCCAAGATTTTTTTTTTTATGAAAACCCACAGCTAGTTTCCGAAAACCAGAGCACTGATTTTGGAAACCAAATCACTGGTTTCCGTGGAAAACCAAAGCATTGGTTTCAAGCCCTACCACTTGCCCACTTTGTGCCCAACCACTGCACACCACAATAATATTTGCGATGGCAATCGAGATTCCTCCTGTTTCTGATAGATAAGAATTTGGCAACGTGTTACCCCTACTGTGTACATGGTGGTTGTGGTTCCACCACCATTAAGTAAACACAAATTTGTGAATGAGAGACCTCCTTTGAATGTGATTAGGGCGAAATTTTAAAAGGAATTCCCTATCACGGGCTCAGCACACATTGGATTGATTAATACCAAGCAAGTTCTGATTCGATTCTCACTGGAAGAGGATTGCAAGAAGATTTTAGCAAGAGTTAAGCGGTGATCGAGAACAAGCTGGTTTGGTTCTCGCCGTGGTTGCCAAAGTGGAATGCGAGAAAAGACCTACCTTCAATTACAATTCAACGCCGCACTGGTAAACGAAAACCCTAGCTTGTTCAGGCGGCTCAGCAATTTATCATCAATGGATCATAGATTGGGAACCGAAGAGACAGCTCCGGCACCCAATGGTGTCGGTGCAATCGGTGCAATCGGTGCTCCAGGAAGTGATGACCTGACGGTGCACTATGGAGGCGAGGCTGAGCATTGTGATTGCTTGTGAAATTCTTACGGATTGCTTTAATTCTTTTACTAGTGCAGACGATTTGGAGATTAAGGAATTTTAAGCGGGGTGTGAAATTTTCCAAATATTACTGTGGTGTGCAGTGGTAGGGCACTATAAGGGCAGGTGGAGGGCAATATATTAAATCCCCGCCACCATTTACTGCTACCTAATTTTAACCTTAACATTCTTAATTTGAAGCAATTCAAAATGTCTACAAGATTTAGCTAATGCTAAACTCATTTTGTAAAGAAATCACTGATCAAAAGAATCCATGCAAGTTGGGGAAAAAATTAAAAAGAAGAAAAGAAAAAACGAAATGAAATTGTACTAAAGCTACCTACGATGTTAGAGATGGCAACGCATGTACATGTCATGATCATGCATGACTTCTTTAATTCATCCGATTTCAATTCATATATATATTCATGTACATACATGTAAAAATTAAAAATGTATTAAA